TAAAAAAACAACCACAAAAAAAGGCCCGCCAAATTATCCCCCCCCCCCCCCCTTTCCTCTCCCCTTGTTAATCATACCTAATAAATATTTTAACAAAATTCACAAAGAAAGGAGGCTTAACTTTTTTTAATTATTTAAATAATAGGTAAATGTAAATAAAGTAGATTTATTAATGTTTTGCTTTTATTGTTGTTTTCAAATATGTTGTCATATGCATGTATATATTTATTTATTTTTTAATATCTGTTCCCTTCGTAAACCAAATAATTTTGGACCAAAAAAGAACAAAACAATCCTTAATCCATAAATTCTGTCATCACCGGTTGATCTCTAGTTTAGTGAGTTAGTCTTTGCATAAACAGGCTACCAGGCAACGGCGTAGATGGATCATAGGCGCAGGCGTTCGTTGTCTTAGAAATTGAAGCTCGCGGAGGTCCTGGAAAATGATGGGTTAGTAATTCAAGTTTCTAAGTCATTATTTCCATGCCTCGATAATTGCTTTTTTTTTCATCATCAATGTGAAAGCCAAAGGGAAAGTACGAATACAGCAGACCATCGCTGAACAGACTGAACATTACAAAGTAACAAATTTGTCAAAATTGGGTAGGCCCAAAGTGTCTGTGTACTGTGACTGTATTTTACAAAGTAACATGCTAAAGAAAATTCTGTAAATGCAAAGAAGAGACGCCATGTTTTTTCTCATGGCCGCAATCTTGGTTGACACGGCCAGTTAATACTCAGTACTGTCACTAAACCTAACTAAACTAAATCAACAAATCTGTATCCATAAAACTGCCTAATCCTAACCTGAACCCTAAATGATTCCCTCAACCGGTAATCTTGCAGTTCAGGTGCATATATTATTTCTGATTGAATTTTGTGCTATAGCATGTAATTTTAGGTGTATTCTTAATTAAATTAATAATACAGGCAGTGATTTTTCTTAAAACTAGCCAATATTATTAATATAGCCTACACGGCATCACTCGTGATGGCATTCGGAAATGAAAATCTTTAATTTAATATCCCTTTGACAAACATCTAAATTATGGGGCCTGTGAAAAAAACAGGGAAATGGAAAATTGCAATCTGGGATGTATTGTGAATTTTAAAAAAAAACAAGAAAATGAATAGATCGTTTACGCTACCAGCTGTGTACCAATGGAGGCTGTAAAAATCAATAAAAAGAAAAGTTAGTGCTGTACAATTTAGTGTTAGTGTTAACTAATACTGTCTGAATTAAATTTTATAAAGAGTACACCTAAGTTTACAGGCAATAATACGAAATTTGATGAGAAATAATTATACGCACTTGAGCTGCACGATTACCCCTAAACCTAACCTGAACCCTAATTCACAGCAACTTTAATAAACAGGCAATTGACGTCATGGCATCTCTTCTTTGCATTAACCAAAAATTCAAAATTGGTCAATTTACATTCTCTCGTTCTCCTTGCCACACTGAGTTTCTAAGGATTATCTCCCCTCTGATTAGTCGCAGATTTTTTACTAGAGTTAACTGCTTTTTTTTTTTAAATAATACTACTAATTAATACTAATACACTGATGAAATATGTTTGATTGATGGCATTTTTTAATTAACATTTCTCTCGTTCTCCTTGCCACACTGAGTTTCTAAGGATTATCTCCCCTCTGATTAGTCGCAGATTTTTTACTAGAGTTAACTGCTTTTTTTTTTTTAAATAATACTACTAATTAATACTAATACACTGATGAAATATGTTTGATTGATGGCATTTTTTAATTAACATTTCTTAGGAAAATTAATTATAATATTTTGAAATGAGGCTATTTTTCTGCAGCCTCTCTGATCATTTTGAAACATGGATTTAGGATTTTTGAAAGTACTCTGCACAGTCTACCGCTCATGTCCTAAAATTTAAAAAAAAACTTGTTCTGCAATATGGTGTATCTTTAGAACATTGCATACAACATCAAATTAAGTGACATGTGTCTCTTAAATAATTGCTTTCCTCATCAGTGATGTATCAGTTTTTGTGTTCTGGTGCATCTATAACATTTATGCTAAATTACATGTGGGGTTTTTTGTGTCACGAAAAGGATTATCATATCGATTCAGTAAGCGTATATCACATACATACCTTTTTTGTTATTTATTCCTTAAAAATAAGATTTAGTACCTTAGAAACTACATTCATTCTCAAATTTGAACATATTTAAGTTATTAAAAATTACCAAGTAAATTAAAAGTTATGCAAATCTGAAGTTAATTTTATTCGATCAAGATGCCGGTAATGGCTATTATTACTGTTGATTATGATATGATAGCAGTCATAATAATTGTTATTCTCTTATAAATGACTACTCATATGGGAGAATATTAATAAAATTATGCCTAAAATAACAGTTATTTATCTTAATCTTAGACTTAGTCTAGTCTAGTGCTATTATTGTGTCTATAAATATATTACATAATGACAATAAAAAATAAATGTAATTATTGTAAAATTATTAACACAAGTCTTGTTTAAAATTTGGTAATATATAACTTAACCTATAAAACCTTTATTAAAAGACATCAAATAAATAAATAAGACTCCAACAAGATCATCATAGTAAATATAATTTTATTAGGACATAGAAAAGCAGTTAACAAAGACAATTGTTTTATATATCAAATGACAGCACATTAATTTTTTGTTTGTAAAAAGACATGTTATAAATAGGCTTCTTAAAAAGATGTTATTTCTAGGCTTCTTCAGGTACAAGAGAAATTTTAATTTTCTACTAAAGATCTTTGTGGAATTCCTTCCACTTCCATTGACAATGAGGCACATATGAACAAGGATGGCATAGACAAAGTCTATGAAGGAGAGTTTTTAGGATTCATCAACAAGACCAAGAAGTCTGTAGGGGATTGGACATAGAACATGTCAGGCAGATCATCCCCATCCTCTTTTAAAATTTAATCACATTCCGGTACATTCATATTCATGTCTCTTTGGTGATTTTAGTAGTTTTTATTTATAATTTCATGCATTTAATTTTATATTAAAAAGACTTCTTCCCACCATTCATAAATATAATAATTTATTTAAAATATAACTGAATCATATATTTAATTAAAATATAATTAACATATTACTTTTGTGTTTTTTTTGCCTTCACAAATTATAATTTTCCCAATTTTTCTGTATATCATTTTTTTTTTAAACATACCTGCAAATAAAACTATCCAAAATAGAAAGTGTTGATGTAATGTAAAAGTTTTGTTGTTCTTTGTGTTGTATATTAGATCCTAAAAATTTGGTGCAATCATTTTTAAAAATAAAATGTTATGTGTAAAATGTAGAAATTGGAAATTTGGGTCACAATTTTTTGGGGGTAAAATATATAGATTATATAAGTAGCTTAAAAAATTCCCCCAAAAAATCATAACTCCACTTCTATGAAAGATAGAAAGATGAAATTGCTCATTTTGGAAAGCTTATAGTTTTATAGCCAGTCCTTTAACATGATTTATCTTTAATGGCAGTCAGACAATATACATATTTTTGTCAAAGTACCTACATGGATTTTGACTTTTCTTGCATCTTTTGGACTTATATAAAGTATTAAGTGTGTAAAAATGTATTGGCTGAAAGATTAAGTTGGATTTTCATTATTTTGAATATTTAAAAATAATTTTCACTTTTTTAGTCAAATTTATAATTTTCTCAGTGCAGTGTGTTTTGGGTTCACATTAGGGGTTAGAATGTTCAAATAAAATAATAACAAATAGGTCTCAATTATTTATAAATGCTTATTAGAAAGCTTTTTAAAAAATGCTCTTATTGATTGCCTATGATTCTCTTAACACAGCAATTGAGATAGTTGTCCCTAGGCAACTGTTTCATCTCAGCTGCTTCGTAAATTAGTTGCAAAGTAGAAACCTACTGTAGAAATCCCTAAATGATGGTTTCTGATGCTTACCCGGGATGGGCAGGGGAAGATTTTAGGACAGAATTATACCATCCCAACTCCTGGGAAAGTCGAGTGCTGACACTTTGAGAGCAGGCTTATCGGCCGACTGGATGTTCTTGGGATGGGGTGGCCTCTGTTGGTACCCGATCAAGTGGGTGCTGGCTGGGGATGTACTGGCAAAGGGAGATCTCCAATATGCCACTTCACAGCCCGATACTTGAGCTTGGATCGGGCTTGGCGGAAGGGGGTGCTTTGGGGAGGGCATAAAGAGCTTGGTACTAGCTCGACAACCCGCTGATGCCATTTTCTAATGTACAATTTCAATGCTCTTTTTTAAATTTTCTCATCAGGCTTTCGCAACTCTATGCAGCTAGACAAGGCAAAAATGCAGGAGCGAACTAAATCAAAATCATCCCGCTCAACTGACAAATCAGTCAAGGGTGGAGACAAAAAAGGGCAGGACAAAGGCTCCAAGAAAAAGCAGACTTCAAAAAAGGCAAACAAGTTTGCTCAGCATTTTTACATACAAGGCACAAAGGTAGAAACTTAAAGGTTATTAAGAGCTATTCATATTTGTATTGTGTACTGAGAAAGATTATATGAACTAAATGACCCATGGTGTATAGATTGAAGAGTTCACTGTAATTAATTTTGTAATGACACATTTATTTTACCACAGAACACAATTTACATCAATATGATGAGCATTAGCTGTAGCTTATTCTACTTATTGCCTAGGTCTGTTTGGAACTCAACAACAAAGGGTATCGAGAAATCCCGGAAGGAATATTTGACCTAGACCTCACTTGCTTGTTTTTAATTAATAATGACATCGATCGCCTGCCAGATAGTTTCATTCAACTTACAAATTTAGAAGCCCTGGTCCTCACAGGGAACAACATCCATGTGGTCAATAGACACATTTTTAATCTTCCTAAGCTTCAGGTATGGAGTGAAGTTTTCATTATCATTTTATTCTAGATATAATATTTTAAAACTTAAATTATCCCACTGTAATTTTTGTAAAATATCAATTTTTTTTTTTTTTTTTTTTTTTTTTTTTTTTTTTTTTTTTTTTTTTTTTTTTTTTTTAAAATATTTATTTTTTTTTTTTTTTTTTTTTTTTTTTTTTTGCTTTATTTGTCAATATTTATGTTTGAAATACATGATAACCACAATAAAGATCACATAGCTTCTATAGTTTGCTGCCTCTGGGACAGGGAGAAGAAAACTGAATGGCACAACAAAATAAATAGAAAGCTAGCATCACAAATGTGTCCCGGTTAAGAGTGAAGTTGGTGAGGTTGTCTCAAGACTGAATATCAGACTATTTCCAACAAACACCACCACCATTTGAGTGGAACATGTGGGACCTTAAATATGGATGGGTGTTGGCTTTATTGATCAGCTAGATTTTAGTCAAATTTTGCAAATGTAATGAACACAAAAGAAAATAATGGTGCTTTTGTTAACTTTTATGGGGGGGGGGGGGCAGAAAATGCAAGCACTGAATTACAATTATTAACTATGTATACCATATTGATTGCATTGTTTTTTGATGCTCGTGACTTGTAATATTTCTAAATTTTTTAACACAAAGTGGCAAAGGACATTTAAATCAAAATTAAATATTTTTTTAAACAGGTTTTGGATTTATCAAACAATGAGATTTCCACCATATCCTCTGAGATATCCGGCCTTAAATCCTTAACTCAATTACTCCTCAACGGCAATCGTTTAGAGAGTCTTCCATCTACAATTGGGGACATGACTCAGCTACGAGTGCTTGGCCTAAATGACAACATTCTGACTTCATTACCAGACAGCCTTTCCAAATTGGAGCACTTGCATGTAGGAAAAGAAGCAACATAAATAAAAAATTTGTCACAGATTAACTTCACAGATATGCCACACAGTGACTTAGAGTGTTTTTTAGAGACATTTCCTAAATTTGTAAAGAAGAAGAGTATGACCAGATTTTTTAGCAGAAAATCAAAAATAAATTAATTAATATTTACAATAGTGATGAAAATATCCAAAAATGTCTTTAGACAGGGATTCAGAACCTGTGGATTGAAACTACATAATTTTAACAATGGTTGCACTTTCTATAATTAGTATTTTAATTATTACATTAGTCATAAATTACAATCTTAATTATGTAACAGTATCCTTTAGTATTATCCAAAACAAGGCACAGTTTATCTCTTTGGTTCAGTTCTTGGTGCTTTCTGTTTACAGCTTTACATTTTTAACTATATCGTTGCTTTAAAGCTACTTGTAGTTGTTTTTTTAAATTAGACCACAAGGTCACTCTACACATGTATATAAGAAAATATTCCACTGTATTATTTTTTTTTATTCACGTAATTATTTAGTGATGAGCAGTGCTTGAAATAAATGTTTTATCATTTATAGTTTTATGCGTATGTGATGAAATTTCTTATAGTCTGGCTATTTATTAAACCACAGCTTCTTTAAAAAAATTTCTATGACTAATTTACCACCAATCATTTCCAAAAGATTTCCCTATGGTTGCTACATTATAGTATTAAATATTAATTTTTATTAAAACATTCATTTTAAAATTTTTCTTTTACCTTAAAAATTTGAAATAATTTTTCCTTTTTTATATTTTTACCTACATTCATTTGTCCTTTTTGTTTCAACAACTCAACTGTTGACAGATTCTAGCCTTGGAAAGAAATATGCTGGAGTTTCTTAACCCATCAGTTTGTAAAATAGAAAGTCTTCGCCGCCTGGGTCTGTCTGGCAATAAGATGAGCAATTTGCCTCATGAGATTGAAGGAATGACAGACTTGCAGCAACTTCTTTTGGATGACAATCAATTTGAATTCATCCCCATTCAGGTGAATGACATGTTTGTGAGATACGCACATGAAACATACTCTGCCCCATTTATTTTAAGTAACTTCTGTATTTGATCTGAGGTGTGCACCTTGTTGGGATGTCTGCTTGGCCTTTTATTTGTTATTGTAGTCAGAAAATGGCAAGGTTTGGAATGGCCTGCACTTTCAGAGTAATACGCTGCAATACTTTCAAATGAACTAACGAGTGATGAGAAAGGTAGGGATTGTTCATAGACATGCTACAATATTTTTGGCTGATATTTTTAGAGAACATGCCAGCCACTGTTATAATTTGAAACATTTTAAACTAACTTGAAACTTTATCTTTAAAGAGTGAGCTTTTCTTTTTTGGCTAGAGAAATGAGTCTTGAATCTTCTGCAGATCTTCTGGTTGCATGAATTAATAGAGCTGTCCTTCTGTGGCAATGGAATAACACAGATACAGCCAGATATCAAGAACATGACAAAACTCAAAGTTCTAGGTTTGAGTAACAACAAGTTGACTGACCTTCCACACGAGCTGATGCAGTTAACACAGATTGAGTTGTTGGGTAAATCTTTTCCTGTAAAACGGTTCATGTGATTTATATTTCTATTGTCATTGTTCCACTGTCCATAATTTTTTTTAGTCATTGTGTAAGATTTGATCAAGAAATTGTTCTACATAAATGGACATATTTAATATTGATAATGATCATTGATGACTTGTATAGTGCTTGTCTCCATGCTTTTTTAGCATGCTGACAGCGCTCTGATGTCATGAAATCTATTTAAAGAAAAATTTCTTTAAATATCTCTTAAATTATTTTTATCATTTTTAATGTCACCCAAAGATGGAGACAAACTGTTACATAATTTTGGCTCTGTTGGTTCAAAATACTGCACTCCGTGGGACTTCTTTCTGTGTCCATCCACACTGGGAACTCTTGGTATGGACTGTGATGAAGAGCTCACTCCGTATGACTTCTTTCTGTGTCCATCCACACTGGGAACTCTCAGTATGGACTGTGATGAAGAGCTCACTCCGTATGACTTCTTTCTGTGTCCATCCACACTGGGAACTCTCAGTATGGACTGTGATGAAGAGCTCACTCCTTATGACTTCTTTCTGTGTCCATCCACACTGGGAACTCTCAGTATGGACTGTGATGAAGACTGCAGGTTCCTAAAGGATACATGTTTGCAAATGTAGCATATAGCCTTCTTTATAGCTGTATGCCAGGGACAGAATTTTGTGGTTAATGCGCTCACTCATCGGAAGCCATTTAGATCTTTAAGAACTGGGGTGATGTGGTCAGATTTCTTTATCCTTGATGCAATTCATGCTGCATTATTTTGTACCTTCTAGAGCCTCTGAATTTGGTTTTTAGGTTTGGTTTTTAGGTAAACCCCACAGCCAACCGTTACAGTAATCTAATCTTGATTGGATTAGAGTGACTGCTAAGGCATTGGCTGTTCTCTTATTAAGTTGAGGACGCATCTGACCAGGGTGAATGTTGATATTTAATTGAGAATGGAATTATTGCAGAATTTTGAAAAAGATTATTCACGGTCCAAGACATCAGATACTTTATTCTTCAAACTACTTGTTTTAATTAAGTCAACAAAATATCTTCTTTTTTTAAATTTCATTCTAAAATGTCTGGTATGTACTCCTATCACTTGTGCGATTGTTGTTATCAATAATGTCCTGTTAAAGGACAGAACCATCTTATACTGAAGATTTACAGTACCTGATCAGTTAAGATGACCTTTTTGGGGGGAGGGGGGGGGGTTGATTGAGGTCTCTCCCCCATATCACCACGAATTTTAGTTTAGCATCATTCTACACTTAGTTGGGGATCAGAAGAAGAAAGGACCGTGGACATTTATTACGACTTTTAGATAAACATAAATAAACTTTTCAAGACATTTCACTTTCAAGTAATGATTATTTGACATTACCGGTATGTGGAACATCATTTAGTATCAAACCTATTTTCTGGGTATGAAACCATTTAGCTGTTTATGGATTTTTTATTATTTTTCTTTTCTTTCTATCTTTTTTAAATAGAAAAAGCTTCAACACTTTTAATTATGACATTCATTTTAAATTTAAGGAAAACTTAAACATTTTTTTTTAAAGTATAAATTACTTTTTAAAAAATTAATTTTGGCCAAAAGGTATATTTGAAAGCTATAAATCACTGACTCAAAGGTTTTAAATTGTGACCATATTTCCTCAGCCCTGGACAATAACTGCCTCACAAGTCTGTCAGAAGACATAGCAAACTTGTACTGCATGAAGGAGTTGAACCTTGGCTCTAACTTCCTCACTGAACTTCCAGACAGTATAAGCCTATGCTGTAGTCTTGAGGTTAGTCTTAACTTATATAATACTCATTCAAAGAAATTTATTGCAGGATACTGCAAAAACAAAAAAAAGCTTTGTGAAACCACGATTGCAGTCAACGCTGAATACTGTAAAGCACTCAAATGAGCTTCATAAAAATTAGTATTAAAATATTTCAATGAAATCCTGGATATTGCAATGGTTCCACATTATTTCATACAACTGCGTTCCTCCAAAGGTTTTGGGTTTAAGCAACACAAATTATCAATATGAAAACTGGGATGTTACTTGCTGTAAAAAAAACATGCATTGTTTCTAAGACTATCACTGGAACTGCTGAGAGAAAAATCATACATTGTTTTCAGGACTATGACTAGAACTGCTGAGAGGAAAACCATGCATTGTTTTCAGGACTAGAAGAACTGCGGAGAGGAAAACCGTGCATTATTTTCAGGACTATGACTGGACCTGCTGAGAGAAAAAATCATGTTAAGCACCAAACTGCAAATTCAAGAGTTATATCACTGTAATATATTGCAATCAAAGGACAATTCATTTTCAATTAAATTTAGTGGAAATGGCCAGCATGAAGTTATGTACCTATTGAGATTAAAATAGCTTTAAGTTTAAAAATCAATCAAACCAAATGTGTATGCTGGAAGTAAACAACCCAAAGGGTGTATGGCTGAAGAAAAACAAAAAGGAAGGGTCCGTGCAACTGAAGTAAAGAACATCTTTTGAGGAAATTCATGAAAAAGTGTTATGGCTGAAAAAACTAGTATGGCTTACGATTCAAGTAATTCACAGTTGATTAGATCACATGCCTTAACTAAAGCAGGTTCGTGAGATACATCAAGAAATAATGCGTGTTAGCCAAAGGTATTCAATTAAAGGATTTGAAATGATTAAATGCTAGAATTGATTTAAAATCAAAAGGCACCCTCAACAAAACAAAAAACACCTTTTTTAAAAAAATCAAGCAACTCATTCAATCCTAGGGGGAGGAGGAGGAGAGAAAAGTGGGTGGGGGGGTAAATTTAAAGACAAAAATAGAAGTAGAAAATGCATATAAAGGTCTTTACAATGATTTCAAATGAAATATTCACTCTTGGCATTTTTTGTTAGAGATGATACAGTGAATTTTCCTGAATTATTAAGTATTGTACCAAGGCACAGGTGTTAAAAATTAACTTGCATTGTCAAGTTCTTTAAAGTTATTTCCTCATAAATGGTACAACTGTTTTATATAAACAAGATTTTCATCCTTCCCCCTCTTTCCTGCAATGTATTGACACTGTTAACATTATCCCTTGCTTTCTCTTTTCTTCAGTTTTATTTCCTGCACAAAATAGTTTTTTGTTTGTTTTTTCACATTTTTTGTAGACTCTAAGTGTGGTCAACAACAAGCTGACAAAGCTTCCAATAGAGTTGGGAACCCTACAAAAACTGCACACTCTAATGATTTCACAAAATGAGTTCACATCCATCCCAGTTTGTGTGGGGGCACTCCAGGGCCTACAGGTGCTTCTTGCAGAAGACAATCAAATAGAAGAAGTCCCAGAGACATTTGCAGGACTCTCTCACCTCAAGCACTTTAACCTAAGCGTCAATCGAATCAGCAGCTTTCCACTTGCCATTTGCAAGGTAAGAAAATTTTAATGAAATAATCGGGTGATGATTTTCTCGAGACATACCAAAATGCATCAAAATAACATCTCAATATATCAATTCAAAACTATCGTATGGGGAGTTAACCAATGTGCCAATTATTATGCATCTCTGTTTACAGGCAGCTTCCATCAAGGAAGTATTTTCAGGCCGCTCTGAAGTTACTGACTAAATATGTCTCAGTCAACAAGTAATTAAAGCTAGTTGGGGGTGGTCCATATAGTATTTCATGCTCGGGAAGCAGGAGGGCACTTAAGAAAGTCTGACAGTTTTTTTATGGGGGTTGGGGGGGGGTTTTTTGGGGGGGGGGGGGGGGGGGGGGGGGGGAATGGGAATAAACATAAAATGTGACATCACACATGTTTTTTAAAACATACATTTAAAACCTGAAATTTAATGTGATGGATGTATTCTGACAGAAGATGTCACTTTTATAAATATGAGAGTTAAATTGTGAATTATTTTTTAGATTAAATTTTAATTAGTTGTCAATTTTTAGTTTGAAACCATGGGGGGTGGGGATCCAAAATTTGTGACAGTTTGTAACAGGGGAGGTAAAAAAAGAAAAGTGTTAAAAAAATTGTGTGACATACATTATGGATAACCCCTTACCTAAGAGCAACTAGCCACTAAATGAGTTCACTTTTGTCCCATTGAAGCCGTTATCCAACTGATTGTCAGAACTTTCAGAAAACAATTCATGAAACAGTAGTGACAAATATTTGAATCTGACCACTTGAATGTCAAAGGGTATATAATTTTTTTTGTCAGAACTTTCAGAAAACAATTCATGAAACAGTAGTGACAAATATTTGAATCTGACCACTTGAATGTCAAAGGGTATATAAATTTTTTTTTAAATATAATTTATTTTGAATTGTAGAACACTCACAAACATATCCTTCTACTGCGACTCTAATAAAGCATTATTAATAATAAACTCTGTCTCCAGGTTCGATCATTGGAAGTTTTAGATGTGTCATGTAATAACCTACTGGCCATACCAAATGAAATTAGTAATTTACAGAATTTACAGGTAAGAGCACATAAAAATAATCATTTTAAACCAGTTGCAACAGGTGTGTATTTCAACCTTTATTATTCACAGCTAAGTAAATTTTTTTTCTTTTTATTTATTTTTTTTTTTTAATTGAGGTCCTATAACAAAGTGAATTATTATTAAACATAAGTTAGAATTGCTTAAAGATAGAGGTTTCAAAAAAAAAGGAAAACCTCTAGTTAATCTATAACTGTATGAATTTTAGCCTTAAAAAGGACTGATTGATTCATCTTTGAACAGGTACTGAATTTAAAAGAAAATCTCCTGAAAGAAATCCCACCACAGTTGTACAGCTTATCAAAACTGCGAGGACTTGACCTGTCTGATAATGCTCTGTCTGATGTCCCCATCAATGTGTCCGAGATGACCAGCCTGAATGAGCTCAATTTGTCCAACAACAAGTTTTTTGAGTTCCCGAAAGCAGTTTGTGCCGTCCCAAACCTGGTTACCCTCCGCTTCGATCAACAGAACGGCAACCAGGTCCCATGCTTGCCAGACGAGATCGGAAACTTGCGCGTCAAAGAGCTGATCATCAGCCACAACACCCTGAGAACATTCCCCAAGACTATAAACGGAATGAACAACCTAACCCACCTTTATGCCGACCACAACGAGATCTGGATGCTGCCGGATTCTATATGTGAGATGCAGAAGCTACAGCTGCTGCATCTCAACAACAATCAATTGACAACTCTGCCACGGGATTTCGACCAGCTCATTTTACTTCGAGATTTACGTCTCTATGACAACCAGCTTAAGGTCCCCCCTATGGATGTTTGTGTCAGTGGAGTTTTACAGCCTATTGGACTTTTCTTAAGGAAAGCATTTAAAAGAGAAGGTACCTTTTGTTTTCTTAATACCTTTATTTTATTTTTTAAACAGATAGAGATTGGGAAGAAAGGTGGGGGTCTGGATAATGCTTTGTGGGTTACTGCAAGTGACTGTAGACAACTCAGTTTGGTTCTGTAGGATGATTCAAAGAAACTCATTGTTGTGTTAGGAGATTCAAGGTGCTGATACCTATGCATTGTGGCTATTTAGGGTTATTCAAGTTTTGAAAAAATGTGACGTACTTTTCAAGTCTATGTTTTCTGCAAAAAGTTGCACCACTTAACAAACAACTCACATAGGGGATAGATGAGATCAAGTCTTCAAATCATTCAATTCTTAAATGAGAGCCAGCAGTGATGTAGTTGCGCCAGGATGCGCTGAGGAGCCACACTGGCACATTTCTTATATGTTACCAGTTCCCACCCTGCTTTTCAATATGACAGTAAAAATTTAGTGGGGGGTTTTTTATTTGCTTTAGTTAAAACCAAATTTAAATTAATGGTGTAATAATTCCCCCCTTAAATTTCATCTTGCTGTGTGTTTATAAATATTGAGGCATCTATTAGTCAGTGATACATTTATCAGTCATTGAGGAATCTGTTACTCAATGAGCCATTTGTTAGTGAGGCACTATTAGTCATGGAGGCATCTAATAGTAAGTGAGGCATTTATGAACCAGCAAGGCTTCTATTAGTCAGTAAGGCATAAATTAGTCAGTGAGGCATCTTTTAGTCAGTGAGGCATCAATTAGTCTGTGAGGCATCTTTTAGTCAGTGAGGCATCAATTAGTCAGTGAGGCATCTTTTAGTCAGTGAGGCATCAATTAGTCAGTGAGATATCTTTTAGTCAGTGAGCCATTTATTAGTGAGGCATATTATATTAGTAAATGAGCCATCTGTTAGTCAGTGAGGTATCTATTATTCTGCAAGGCATCTATTAGTCAGTGAAGCATCTATTAGTCAGTGTATTATGTTAACCGAATGCACTGATTACTCAAGATTATTTTAAAACTCCAGGTTCACAATTTCAAACACCAATTTTGCATAGCTTAACTTGTTATCTACTAGTTTTGTGTTATTGTGATACAGTTGCTTAAGTGCCTCATTGCTTTATTATTTTGAAATGTCATCCATTTGGGGGCGGGGGGGGGGGGGGATAAGGGGTTTGTTTGTTGGGAAGGGAGGGGGTGGGGGGGCTATTCTCTTAAAACATTTCTCAGTTTGCCAGTCATTGTTACTTTTCTTTTTGGTCAAAACATTATATCACATAAAATTGTCATGTTAAATAGTTGCAAAATGTTTTGATCAATGTTTTATCTTTCCTCATCGTTTGATTAATGTTTATCATTTTCTCTTCAGAGCTTCTAATGGAGCGAATGTTTCACGCTATCAAAGAAGATCTTACAAAGTCCCAACTACGTTCCCTACTCAAAAAATTAAAAGTTCCAGAAGATCATATCATGGAGCTGGAGTCCAGATTCCCTGGTCGCGACCAGGTCCCAGAGAGAATACTGGCCGGCCTTCGTCACTGGAAAGAATATTTTGGACCAATGGCTACAATAGACGAATTAATTAGAATAACTCATATCATTAATTTTGATAATGTGGCCCTCAAGTTAAAAACCATGAAAATTTTTGCCCAGAGATTGAGGCTGTGACCTCAATTTTATTATTGCATAAGCACATGTTTAGGATTGCGTTTTCAATGACTCGTCTAAGAAAGGGGAAAATTAAAGCAGTTTCTGCCACGCAAAATGTTGCCTTAGTATCAACTTGATTTTTTAATGAGTATGTACCACATTTATATTTAGCCTTTTCAAAAAACTTAATATTTCTCTTTAGGGGCTTGCACAAGGACTATGACACTAAGAAATATGGCAGATGCATTCACAAAGGAGCTGGTTAAAATCGATACAATTTTTACATGAATTTTTTTATTTTTACAGACGTCAGGGTAATTTGAATACAAATTTCAATACGAGGCTAAGTTTTATAATCAAAAATGATTACTGCTCATATTTGGATCCTTTTAAAAGTAACATCTGTTGTAAAAACTATTTCATGGCATAAATTAATATATTTTGCACTAATTTACTGTTAAATTATTGGAGCTCTTTTTTACTACCTATTGTGTCTGCAGTTCATTTGTATCTCTGTTAGTGATAAAAAGCCATACACAGAAACTGAATCGAGGTTCAGTGCAGACACCAATGTAAAATACTCTAGCAAAAAAGAATCACTGATTTCCCCAGTAAACTTTTACTACATTTAAATTAATTATTTCTCTCTCAAAAGTCTAAGGTGGTATATAATTATGGTTTTACTTTTTGATTTCTAGTTATTTTTAAATAGTCATAGAATTTTCATTTGATAATATTACATTTAAAATCAATTAGACTAAATAATATAAAATATTTTTTTTTGGTTTCTTTTGCATTAGAGGCCCCAAAAATAATCATCCATAGGCATAAAAATATTACAAACCACTTGTTTAATTAACAATTTTTTTGGGACATGGGAAATCACCAAATAGATAAAAATCCCTTATATGATCTAATGTCTCCAATAGTTTACACATTTTTGTATCTTGTCACGCCTCCCAAATTATAAATATGTATTGTGTCTTCTGATGTCTCCAATATTATGTAGACTAACAAAGTCTTGTATAATCCAATGTCTCCAATATTTAGACTAACAAAGTCTTATATCTTCCAATGCCTCCAATATATAGACTTACAAAGTATTTTATCTTCCAATGTCTCCCATATGTAGACTAAAAATGTCTTTCATCTTTCAATTCATCATATATGACGCACACAAAAGAGAATTAAATCCCCCCCCCCAACCCCAAAAATTACACCCTAACATTGCTAACTTTTTAAAAAAATCTTTGACTAAATGAAACAAAGAAAAACTGCAACTAAACCATCACGTTCTTCTCCCTTTTAAAAGTCTAATATCAAACTCACTCATAAAAACACACCACTTCTTGCACGGCCAACTACATCTCATAACAAAGATGTCCAACCAGACAAAAACAGCAAAAAATAAAGCCAGGACCAGTGTTTAGAGCCCAGAGAGCACAAGATGGTTGCCTAGTTGCTCCAAGTTTTGCTTCCAAGGCTTAATTACCCTGGCTAGAACTATTTAAAACAGTATAATATACAAAAAATTAATTTCATCTTAACTCTAGCTTTGTTTTTTTAAGAAACACATTGTACTCCCTTTACTGGGAATTCCTTCACAATTTGTTTTGTCATTAACAATACATTAACAATAATTCATTGCGTCTTCCTTTGGAATATGGAAAGTAATGTTGTTTTATATTTTCTCAAGCGTTTAAAAGCTTTCATGAAAAAATACAGAATTCAGCTGAAAAATGGAAATAAATTCATTGTGTGTGCTTAACAAAATAAAATATTTCCACAAAAAGACTAAGAGGGTCCACTCATCCATCCTGCAGGAAGATTTTAATTTTTAAAATAATTTATGACATTAATTTCCCTCATATAATTTTACTTACCCTGTATTGAAGTATTTATTTTTCTTTTTAAAAAATTGAAACCCTTTAATCTTGACAAACAGTAAAAATGCTAATAGGCCCACTCAGTTTCAATTACCTTCTAAGCCTTACAAAACTGTATTCCTTCATCAAGGGAAGATTAGAATCTCTCACAAATTCTTTCAAGTCTCATCTGCATGACGAAATCATCTATTTTTATACCGAATAAATCCTGACAATATGAATCACATATTGTTGACTGTTTTGTTTTAGTTATTTAACCACTGTCAAGTCTTTTATTTATAATTTTTGCCAACTGAAGCAGTTAGAGTATATACAAGATGTTGGGGGGGGGGGGTTGTTGTCGTTTTTTTGTTGGGTTTTTTTTTTGTTTTTTTTTTGTTTTATTCAAATGGTGTTGTTTTTGTGTTTTTTTCTGGAAATCATCTCCAAATTACCATACAATAAAAAAATATTCGAAAGATGATTAAATGAACTGTTGTAATCCAAGGCACACACATAATAGGCGGTCTAATAAGTCAACATCTTCAAGCAAAGCTCTTGTACTTGAACGATTGCTTTTTATTGAGACCACACTTGCCTGGAGTTACTTACTCGGAGCAAGTGGAAAATTGCAAGTTAGACAGACCTCGCTCCATTCGGTTTCATAACAATTAAAAAGAATGCTATACCTTTAGAAAAAAAAGTGCCATTATTTGTAATTAAGACAGGGTGCCACCAGAAAAAGGCTGCGTTCAAACAGGGTGCCACCAGAAAAAGGCTGCGTTCAAACAGGGTGCCACCAGAAAAAGGCTGCGTTCAAACAGGGTGCCACCAGAAAAAGGCTGCGTTCAAACAGGGTGCCACCAGAAAAAGGCTGCGTTCAAACAGGGTGCCACCAGAAAAAGGCTGCGTTCAAACAGGGTGCCACCAGAAAAAGGCTGCGTTCAAACAGGGTGCCACCAGAAAAAGGCTGCGTTCAAACAGGGTGCCACCAGAAAAAGGCTGCGTTCAAACAGGGTGCCACCAGAAAAAGGCTGCGTTCAAACAGGGTGCCACCAGAAAAAGGCTGCGTTCAAACAGGGTGCCACCAGAAAAAGGCTGCGTTCAAACAGGGTGCCACCAGAAAAAGGCTGCGTTCAAACAGGGTGCCACCAGAAAAAGGCTGCGTTCAAACAGGGTGCCACCAGAAAAAGGCTGCGTTCAAACAGGGTGCCACCAGAAAAAGGCTGCGTTCAAACAGGGTGCCACCAGAAAAAGGCTGCGTTCAAACAGGGTGCCACCAGAAAAAGGCTGCGTTCAAACAGGGTGCCACCAGAAAAAGGCTGCGTTCAAACAGGGTGCCATCAAAAAAGGGTGGCGTTCAAACAGGGTGCCATCAAAAAAGGTTGGCTTGCAAGCAGGGTGCCTTCAAAAAAGGGTGGCGTTCAAACAGGGTGCCATCAAAAAAGGGTGGCGTTCAAACAGGGTGCCATCAGAAAAAGGGTGGCGTTCAAACAGGGTGCCATCAGAAAAAGGTGGCGTTCAAACAGGGTGCCACCAGAAAAGGGTGTCATTATAACGGGGTTGCCAGTAGAGCATCTGCTGACTTTTCCATAAGATGAATGTCGTATCTAGAGTCTGTGTTGCCCGGAGTGGGTCACTCCATCAAACACAACATAATCACAAGTACTACAGACCGGGTGGTGGCCAAGCTTGAAAGAAAGTCAAATTTATCGGAGTTCACTCGAGGCCGATCGTGGTTAATTACATACAAGAGCAGGGTGCCACTAATAACAGGTTACCATGCCACCAGAACAACTTGCCAATATCGCAGGGTGCCACTAATAACAGGTTACCATGCCACCAGAACAACTTGCCATGAGCGCAGGGTGCCACTAATAACAGGTTACCATGCCACCAGAACAACTTGCCATGAGCGCAGGGTGCCACTAATAACAGGTTACCATGCCACCAGAACAACTTGCGATGAGCGCAGGGTGCCACTAATAACAGGTTACCAAGCCACCAGAACAACTTGCCATGAGCGCAGGGTGCCACTAATAACAGGTTACCATGCCACCAGAACAACTTGCCAATATCGCAGGGTGCCACTAATAACAGGTTACCATGCCACCAGAACAACTTGCCAATATCGCAGGGTGCCACTAATAACAGGTTACCATGCCACCAGAACAACTTGCCATGAGCGCAGGGTGCCACTAATAACAGGTTACCATGCCACCAGAACAACTTGCCATGAGCGCAGGGTGCCACTAATAACAGGTTACCATGCCACCAGAACAACTTGCCATGAGCGCAGGGTGCCACTAATAACAGGTTACCATGCCATCAGAACAACTTGCGATGAGCGCAGGGTGCCACTAATAACAGGTTACCATGCCATCAGAACAACTTGCCATGAGCGCAGGGTGCCACTAATAAAAGCTTCCCATGCCACCAGAACAACTGGTAAATGGCATTTATGTGGGGGTCACATAAATATTCAAGAACTCTTTAGGGGTAGCAAATGTGAAAATGTTATAAAACTTTTCTAGTTGGATATATATATAAAAAAAGCCTATTGAATTTTGTAAAGAATATCAATGAAAAGAAGCATGCAATGTTTGAAGGTTGTAGCTAGAATACTTTTCCTCCTAATTCATTTGGCGTTAAAAAAATCCGGAAAACGCAAAATTGAGAAAAATGAAAAAAAAGTAGACTGCAAATACCTGTACCCAGGGCCGGCGCTAGAAGGGTGTGGAGCCTTGGGCAAATTGACTTCTGCGGGGCCGTTGACGTTATATTATATTCGCCGATAGGATATTAAGACACGTTATAGTCGTACTGGGGCCTTACTGGGGCCTTGCTGGTCATAATGGGTAACGGGGCACGTCATAACGGTAGCCAGAATGACCTTCAGACTATTTGACTAGCTAATAACTCCGAATATTGTTTTGACTGGATTAGGAACTATTAGCAGGCTGAGGTATATTATATATATACTACGGCAACGTGAGGTCATCCACTTCACCATCCCCTGTACTGATTCTCTCAGTGATAGGGGTTTAAAAATAAAATAATTATAATTGAAAAAAGGAATAATGTTAAAAATATATGTAATTTAGGGTTATTAAGTGCAAATCTTTACTACAAGATTCCGCTTTTCATGTGACGTCACATTAGACCCCTCAGCCGACGCCGAGCGCTGAATACGCCGCCGAATTTTCGTCCGCCAAAAATCAGCCGGAAAATATGCGGTGCGCCGCATTAGCCGCCGTATTTCGTCCGCCGTAAATCCGCCGTTAAATGAACGAGTCGCCGTAACGTAATGTTTTTGCTTTCTTAAATTTCAAGGCGTTTCGTTTTAAGGTATCAGGTATTGAGTGACAGAAACTGAATGAATGGAATGCATTCATGCACTGTATTAGTAGGACAGCATATAAAACTTTTTTTTTCTATTGTTTGAAATAATAAAACTTTTTCTTAAGTATTGTAAAAGTGTTTTATTGCAGAATTTTTATTAGGCCTATTTCATTATTGGCCAGGCTTCAGCCGAATTTCAGACCAATATTTCGTACTCATCCGAAAATCAGCCGCAAATGTCAATTTACGGAGAATCCGGATATCAGCCCAAAAATTATGTCAGCCAGCCAAAATGTAAAAAAAAAATCGGCTGGCATTCTACGCCACATTGCTTGAGCCCCCCCCCCCCGCCCCCTCGTCACAAAAATCGGACCCCCCTCCCTCCCCCTCTAGGCGCGTGACGTCATTTATGGATGGCCCCTTAGTCTTAGTGAGTCATCAGCTATTTATTGAGAAAGAAATCGAAACTGTCACAAATTTAACAAACATTTCCCACATAACTTCTAGCCGTTTTACGTCCGTAGTGGATGCACAACCGTGCAAAGGAAAAGCAGCGCCCTGGGCGAATGCGTCCCCTGATATTGAGGTCCTTTGCGAGTACCATCTTTACATGGCTGTGCATGGATCCAGTGGGGTAGAAAGAAATATCAGACAAAATAAGATAGATTTATAAAATAAAATAAAAAATATTTAAATCTAAACATATCCTATTGGGCAACTTTTATAACGTATCTTTGAAGACAGAAGAGTTTTCCTTGTTTTCCCACAATGGCGTCGTAAATGACAAAATGTACATTTAAAAAATATCTTGTACAATTTTGTTAAATGGTTATTGTATTCGAACAAAAAGATGCTATTTTAAGCCTTTAGTTCCATCAGGTAAAGAGGAAGTTTTAATTTTATATCACTAGAAATAATTATTCGCGCTTAAATTTCATTCAATCATTGCCTTAGCCGAGCCTTAATAATTTTAATAAATAATAAAATAAATTATGGGTAATAATAACTTTAATAAGTGATATTTACCACATGTCACATGTTTTTATATTGTTGCTTTACTTTTAACTTTTACTTTACTCTTTACAGTACGTTAATTTTCTTAATTTAGGCTTGCTAGAAGGCTGGCACATAATTCACTATGCAGCAATTGTGAAAACGAGAAAACTAGAGGTTTTTAAAATAAAATAAATTATCCAACTGTTCTGCAGTGGCAAGTTGGATTTGGACATATTTTTTAATATCTAGTTAGTCGCATTTCAAATATTGAAATATATTTTTAGAACCCACAAAACAGCTCTATCACCTTAAACTATATATCCCCTCAATCTTAACGACTTGCTGTAGTTATTGAGTACGGTCAAAACGATTGCAAAAAAACATTTTGAAATCAAAGCCGTTAGTCATTTAAGGGGAGGTGCGGGTGAGAAATTGACGAAAATGGCAAATTTTGAATAATTTTTTATTATTAGTTATTTTGTTTTATTAACCATTTCTCTATTAAATTTTTATATTTGTTTTTATGAAAATAAGTTAGAAAATATAATAAATTACAAATTTCCTGACCCTATCAATCAGAAAAATGTCAAAATTGTCCTATTTTTAGTGTTTTTACCCCTTTGTTATGAGTATTTGGAATTGCCCAATCCCTATGTCTTTGGTATGGTTGGAAAGATGGTGATTTCGGGGTCAAGATAAATATAGCTTCTGATCACAAAGAAAACTACAAAAGCAACCGAACCTTTCGATCGCCGGTAATGTCTAGCTAAATTTGGTATTTTCCTGTCCTACTTCGTGTATCACGTGATCAAACCCTGACCTTTGAATAAAATAAGCATTTTGATTGGTTCCTATGTAGGAAATCTGTTTATAAAGGTCACTTCCGGTATAAACAAAACCGT